CATTATACGAATATAGGTTATAATTCATCACAAAAAACGGTAAATAAAGGAATGAAATGGGAGTGGAAGTTTATACAGGTAATTAAAACGTTACAATAGTAACCATTATTTACCATTCAATTCGTCAGTACCCTAGGGACCACGCGATCGAAACAGCTGGCCGAAAGCTAGTATCTAAACAAAACTATATCGAATACTGTATCCCTATTTTTGTCGACGTAAATAGGCGCGAGCGATGCAACTGATGCGTGCAGGATACGAGAGAATAGAAGACCTGGCGAAGGCCTCCGTGGGCGATCTGGTCGCTAAAGTGGAGAATCTGCCGCGGAGTACCGCCTCGCATCTCATCAGCGCCGCCCGGGTATGTCTTATAATTATGGGTATCGCTCGACCTAACATATATAATATCGATATGAGCTTGTTATATAAGTATATGTATCCTCGCAAATTGATACTACTTAATAATAATAATAACTTTTATTCAGCTTACAAGTTTTAACAATTTATGCGTTGGCTTCCTCTATTAAGTACTATAAGTACCTGTGTTACAGGAAACCACTCTTCCATATCTTAATTATATATCTGAGTGCGGGCAAACGTGTGCGTGTGAGTGTGTTTGTGTGTGTGTGTGTGTGTATGTGTGTGTGTGTGTGTGTGTGTATGTGTGTGTGTGTGTATGTGCGTGTGTGTGTGGGGGTGGGTGTTTGATTTATGTATGTTATCTTAATTTATCAATTCACCCAGGGTACGATTGTAAAATATTTTCAGTTTTATCATAGTCTAAACACTTTAGCCATTCCGTAACTTTTTTTTTACATTTCTTTAATGTCAATGGATATATTTTTAGGGTTTTGTTTATTTTGTTGTAAATGTGTGAAGATAAATTCATGAACTGATATTGCGCAAATCTAGTGTGAACATATGTTGTAGTAGCAAATTAATCCTTCCTCCTTTTAGTTTCTTTATCATTAGAATATTCTAAAGATTTATGTTTCTTTAAAACAATTTGTAATATGTAAAGTTTTCTTACTGTAAGTAGATCTGCATCTAAATATAAAGACTGATTTGAAAATGCTCCTCGCCAGAGGGTAATGCAGTAAATTGTAATTGACTGTGCTAACGCCATATATATTTCATTTATTAGCTTTTTATCTGCGATATGTCTCAGTTCTTTAAAAACCCAAATGAGTTTCCGTAATCTACTAGCAACTAAATCAATATGAGGATACCAGTTCAGTTTTTGATCCAGCAGCACTCCAAGATATTTTGTTGTTTTGACTTTATTTATGACAGCGCAGGTACAATTCAAGTTTACATCATGATTACATAGATAAATTTTAATTTCAAAGTCTGTATCGGGCTGATACCTATCACAAATTGAAAAACATATGTAGTTCGTCTTTGATGTATTAAGCGTAAGCAGGTTATTATTTAACCATTCGGCAATCCTAGTCAATCCCTGTTCGGCAATCTCCTTTAAACAATTCCACGAATTTCCGGTAAAAATCACGGCAGTGTCATCTGCATATGAGATTATTTTGGCGTGTGGGATCATCATGTTACAGAGATCATTAATATAGACCAAAAACAGTGTCGGCCCTAGCACACTCCCCTGTGGAACGCCATAGTTTACACTAACTATTTAACTCTAAAAAAAATAATAATCAACAACCTCAAATGTTCAAGATGGGATTCGAGCCTGTAACAATCCCGACAACTATTCTTACTGATTCCTACATCAATAACAAACGATGCGTAATTACATACATACAACATTACATGCATATAATGTTGTTTATACTTATTACACTATGCAATTTTAAAGCCAAATTCGATGAAGAATGTTTACTAACAAAGCGATGCTTAGCAACCAGTGACAGGCAAATGTTAATAACCTTTCTAAACTATATAGGTAGTACTGTTTTGGAAATTACCTAATCTTTGTAATTTAATTTGCAATGTCTTAAGATTACAAGGAACATGTCATGTGTAAACAAAAACCAGTGAAAAACTAATTGTTTTATTTATAAATGTACTAATACTTCATAAACTTGCTATTTATAAATAATGCAATCAATTAACAATGCCATAAATGCTTTAGATACATTATTATATGAAATTAAAAAAAAACTTTTGTCATTTTAAACAGCAGAAAGAAATACTGTACTTTCATACGGGGTCGGCGAACATTATGCGATTGATTGCAAATGTAATAAATTTAAAAGAACACGTTTTATATCCAAAGGAAGTTAGTTTAAAACTGCAAACATGTTTCTAATATCTGAACTCTATAAGTTATAGAGCTGTCAAGTAAAAATAATTTCAGATTTATTACTATTTTCCATTTTTTTTGTCAAAATACTGAATTTTATACTAGTTAAGAATATAACTCATAAAATCACGAAGTAATGTGCAGTATCCTGGTGAGAAATAGGACTTTTATATAATTTTGTCATCTAAATTGTCATGACCCAAATTTGCTGTGTTTACATTGATTCTTTATCGAATTTGGCTGGAGTATAGTTCTTGTTTTTAAAAATATTGCTCTTTCAATTTCACACAAAGTAAAATATTACATTTTGTTACAATGAATCGACAGATGATGCTGATAGAAAAAGTAGAAAACCTCCGTGCTGAAGCAGAGGATGTTATGGAAGACCTAAAACTATAGTGTACCTTATTTTTTTTATTTTTTTTTATATGTCAGAATGAATTTGAATATTTAAAACTACCTCCAGTTATGAAATGGATTTGCATTCGTAGAAGTAAATTTTATTTTTCATCAGCTTAAATTTCAGTTGAAAATATGTTTTTTTTGTTGATAATATATGAAATTGTGAATTACTGTAAATTTTTCAAACTCATAAATTATGGAATGTTGTCAGTCGGGTATATCACATGACTTACATAACATGTTTTTGTAATAAATATCATACATAAATCTTAAATATGCATGTGTATCCTAAGTATTATATTCAACGTTGTAAAATTTAATGGAGTGTGTGGTATAAGTAAATTGGGTGATAAGAATTAGTATGTAAACAATAAATCAGAATCGTTTCTATTAGTTCCATTAAAATATTCTTTGTATCTCTAATTGGCAATATCAACATTATTATTTTATGACCCAATTAAATAAGTGACATAAAATATTCATTTTTTTAATTATAATAGATGATAAGATGTGATATCCGTAAATTGATTATTAATTATATGTATTAAGATTGTATGTGTAATTTATTTTGATTGCTTAATTTTGTGATATTTGATGGACTTTTCTAATTGTTACATATTGTGTTATTTTGTGTGTATGAATATTAATTAAATAATTGTCAATTAGAATATTATTTCCAAATTTTTTTGCATGCTATTTATAGCAAAATGTGCCCGAACTATTGCTTATATCTTTATTACTACCGATAACTGTAAATAGATAAAAAAGTAAGATTTAAAAAATTTCATATTCGCAGACCGCGCTGGTTCTATTATGATTCCTTGTTCTGCTCCATTTCTAGTTGCTAATTGAAAACCAAATTGTTTCAATCATGATAACGTTAGTGCCTTGATAATAGCCTCAAGTAGCACTCGCGCTCGTGGGCCGCATGACATGATACGGGGTTACGCGTGCGTGAGGGATCCATAATAGTAAATGTGAACAATACAAATATACTTATACAACTGTAATAATACAAATAATGTGACATGTCTTGTGAGTGAAGTGTTGATAAAGTAATTTAGCTCAACTTTTTTCAATAAAAAAGACTAGTTCGATGATACTTTTTTCCTACAGGTGAAAATAAAGGTTTCTGTTATATATTCTGAAATATTACGTTTTGAAAACTTAAAAAAGTAGGGAAAAATATTACCAAAATTTTGCTTAAATACATATGGCATAAAATTAGTCACATAAAACGTAACAAATTTCACTATTACAGCTTTAAATATAAACGCAGAAATAACAAAGATTGCCCAGACGCCTATACGTTTTTCGCTATCGTAGCATTGTGACGTCACTTAGTGCCTTGAATTTGTACTTCTTCATTATGTCCCGATATTAAGGGACTATTTATTTACTAGTGGTTGCCAGCGACTTCGTCCGCGTTTTCCATTTTTTCTTCGCTCCCAATAGTTGCAGCGTGATGTTATATAGCCTAAAGCCTTCCTCAATAAATGGTCTATTTAACACAAAAATATTTTTTCAATTCGTACCAGTAGTTCCTGAGATTAGCGGGTTCACACAAACTCTTCAGCTTTATAATATTAGTATAGATGAAATACTGGCCAGAACAATCCTTCTAGCATGATTCAGTATTCACGCGCGATGTATAACTTTGGTGTTTCTATACCGATTTCTATGATTCTTTTTTAAGGAATACTTAATACTGTTAACTTTTTTAATCAGGGATGACTGAGAGTGTTATAAACGTAAGAGTAGACAATAGACAAATACAATCAGAAAGCTTCGAACTGCTAAGCTATCGGGAGTTGCACATGTTATTGTTAGTCAACCATAAAAGATAGACATATGCTGTCGTGGGATATTTTTTATATAATTTTAAGGAGAACATTTCCGTCACACATGATTTCTGGGTAGCTTTATCCATTAAGGTTGCACACGCGACGGAAGCTTAAAAAATGGAGTAACTTCTCCCGTTTTTCCAACATTTCCCTTCACTGCTCTGCTCCTATTGATTGTAAAGTGATGAAAAGTATTCTATAACCAGCTCAGGAGTATGAAAAATAATTGTACCAGGTTTCGTTAAAATCCGTCGAGTAGTTGTTGTTTCTATAACGGTTATACAGACAGACAGACAAAAATTTTACTGATTGCATTTTAGGCATCAGATCCCTAATCACCCCCTGATAGTTATTTTGGAAATATATTTCATGTACAGAATTGACCTATCTACAGATTTATTATAAATTTATAAGTAGGTATAGATAATAAAATAAAAGTTTTGTTGTTGGCTAGCCTATTATTACAAAGTAAAACAGAAAATAGTTTAAAAATATTTATTCACCTCTTTTTATACAAACATGGCTTTAGAGTTAACGTTGGTAGTTTGGATTTCTTGACAGGCGGCTCACCGACCTTTATGAACTCCATATAAAAGAATACCTGATGGCTTTTGTCTAAGGTCTTCAGTTTGAACCCGAGCCGCTTCACGTCATCAGTGAATGATTCCACATTGTCGAAGCGACTCTCCACTTCCACGATAAGCAGGTGACCCCTGAAAGACATAGTTTTTGATAGACATCGTCCAAAACGATAACGGTCGATCACTATCTCACATCAAAGTTCCTGGTGTTTTAAAACCGGCACACCCTGCGTGAATTCATCAGATATCAAGGCGAATGTAGCGGTATACGGGGATGGCATGCATGACTAGTGGCATGGTTCGGGCCAGTCTCCCCTTTGGGCGTTTTACTCGAATTTTGTAAAACTCTGATATAATCTACTAGATCAGGAAGAAACGACGCGTTTAAATTCGCGCGGCGCCGCGGTGACGGCATTTCTTCTAATCGTGATCTCCGTTCGCCGTTCTGATACTGAAAAAACCGATCGAACGGATAACAATCTTCGGTAAACATAAAGCTTTGCTTTTAGATTTGCGGATAAACGAGCGGACTAGATATGTCCGGAAAAGCATTTCCAAATTTAGAACGAATCCTCGATAAACCATTGAACATACCCCATCTTGAGTATCCGGTTAGCCTCTAGAAGGTACTGCGTGAGGTCGGTGCCCATGAGCGCGAGGCAGTAGACGGCGGCGTGCAGCGCGGCGGCGGGCAGCGGCGTGCGGGCCATGTCGCATGCCGTCACGCCCGCACGCGCCGCCACCAGGTCGAACGAGTGCACGCGCTGCGCCACGCGCCGCGACAGCGCTGCCTCGCCACAGCCCATGTCTGCTATTGTGTGCGTTTTGGGCCTGGTGTTTTGTTGTTTTAAATAATAAACTTTATACAAACAAGATAAACAAAAAAGTGTGAAAAATATCACATTAAACAAAAGTGAAATGAAAATAATGAGGGGGCTTTAATACTTTGTTATTATTGTATTACTGTATACAATTTTCTCTATCAGAAAGACCATATTTGATAGTTGTTTTAAGACAATCCCCAAAAAGAGCTTGTGTAGTGTTTTATAATTATCAATATAAGTATCGTGCTCATTATCACTCTCAATCCTGTTGTCTGTATAAAAGAACGAGCATAAGAAATTTAATGAATAGCATTTACAGGTGAATCGATGAGAGTATGGCACTGCAGATCTTGTAAATAAGAAAAGTAGTCTGTCTCAAAAAAGAAGTTCCGCAGTTTAACTCTAATTCCTTTGTATTAAAAGCTTTAAATTATTTTTTAAATAGTCTTGTATTAAAAATATACTTTTGAATGACCTACTCTTATTGCTCAGCTTTTTTTGCAAGTAGAAATAATGAAGTTATTTTAAAATATGCACTTACATTTGAGATATCCTTTTCACTATCAAGTCGAGAGGATTGACTGGCCACTTCTTCAATTGTTGCTGGTAGCCCTGATGATAGGTGCGGAAAGCTTCTGGGTCAGATTGGAAGATCTTCTGAGCTTCTGAACCTGATGTTGTGTACAGCTTTTCATTCAGGAACCTGAACTGTGCAGCTGAGAAAGTGATACTAATGAAGTAGAAGGGATAATGCAACTTATCTACAATTTAAGGTTAGATTCAACTTCTTTATTTTCATTAAAATTATATTAAATTAAAAGAAAATTTCCACATTTGGTTAGATTTCTAGAAACATTTGAAAACCTGTCCCACTGTTTGGCACATAAATGTCAACCCATTATTTACAGATAACCAATTACACTTGTTTAGTAAATAGTTCTTCATTGATATGGATTCATTTTAGTTTATAAGAAAGATAACCCAATGATGTGGTATATACTATAGACAAGAAAATAGTTTTGTAGACTGTATACTGAAGAAACAAATATATCTATGCAGGTGATTTATTACCAGATTATTTGAAACCTAATTTTATTAACATTGTGTTATTAAAGGACAGACTAAGTGCATCTTACAGGTGCAATATTACATACCTTTTAGCTTCTCTAACATTCTTTGCCTTAGATTACTGCCACCAACACTGATATGATTTCTTTTATTTTCCATTTTTAATATTTTTTTAAACATTTCTTTCTTTTTGTCTTTTTTACTTATTATAGGTTGTATATTTGAATTTTCTACTTGAAAGGTGTTACTATAAGGCATATCTTTTACATTATTAAGTTGTTCAGAAGGATTTTCCTCTGTGTTGATGTTATATTTTCTCTTTTTAGCTTTCATTGATTTTGTTGACACATAATTTTGAACTTCAGTGTCATTGGAAACGTTATCTTCATGCTTACGCTTTCTAGATTTAAGCTTACATTTAATTGCTGTTTGATTTATTACTGACGTGTTTTTGGGGTTATTGGATTGCAATGCTTTTATTTGATTGCTTTTGTTGGATTTATTTAATTTTGTTTTCTTTACTTTCTTTTTTATTGTGGGTACTGATTCGCCATTCACTTGTGCAGACTTATCAAGATTTTTAGGAATTGTAAGTGTGTCCAAATCCTTATTTTTTTCTTTTTTATGCTGTGAAAAAAAAAATGTTATTGTTATTTTTTGTACACATTATATCAACAGCAGCATAAATACCAATCATTAGCAGGGCACATTAAAAACTCAGGACATTCTTTTAAAACTACCCAAGACATTCCAAGATAATATAAAAGCAGGATATGTCCTGGGAAAACAAGACGTTTGAAAACTCTTTAAATACTGTTCTCATTGAAATTAAAGTAAAATATTAATTGTTCAATCAAACTTATTGGAAACACTTCAATCATCAATTTTTGCTACGTTCAGAAAACCAGCCCCCTAATTGTCTAATTTTAAATCTATTGCAATCGCTTTCAGTTTGAAAGGTGTTGCACAACCATTGCTGCATAATACAAATACTTTTTTTTCAACTGTCTTCAGAAACAAGCAATGGTTGTGCAACACCTTTCAAACTGAAAGTGATTGCAATAGATTTAAAATTAGACAATTAGGGGGCAGTTTGTTTTTAACCAAAAGTATTATTATTATTATCACCTTTGCAGCTTTTCCAAAAGTTAAACTACTCTTCGGCACATCGTCTCCCCACTTGGGGATTTTAAACATTTTGTTGATAAAATGTATAACGAACGTTAGTTACTCAGGTTAAATACGTTTTGTTCGACGTTGAAAAAAATATATTTTACACAAGTAACCCAGTAATAAAGCTTTTTGTCTCGGGAACTTCAGTTTAAATTTACTTTGAACATAACCTAAAAAAATACATTAATAAACGTCAATGTCAGCCATTCAGTTTTAGTGATGTACTCTAGTTACCAACGCGAGTCGAGTTGCGCTTAACACTAGTACTTAGTAGGGCTAATATTGGTTACAATCGATATCGATATTTATCGATGTATTTATTGGATCTTAAGTAAATGCAAAAAGCTTGTTTGTAAAAACCTTATTTAAATAAAATACGTTTAATCTAAAATGTATTTTTTTTTTAAATTTGCCAATATTAGTGATGATCCATAAGCCTGTTCTAACTTCGTGTAAATTAAGTATGAGAAACTCGAGATCGTTTTGTTTACACCCAAATGTCACCTTTCTCCTGTGGACTCAACGGCTCATACGATATCTCACTATCGACCCGAGAAACAAATTTTAAAGAAATACTTCGTGGATCATAATATTTTGCTGATGAAATAAAATGTCATCGTTTTATTCATGTTCATTTCACATTCTTACAATGTAGAAATTAATTAATTCACTCGACATTGGCAGAATTGTGCGGAATGCACAAATAAGTCATAAATAAAAGAAAAAGAGAAAGATCTTATTCATAGTCTATTTTGTTTAATATAAGTTTTAGAAGAAAAATATCTCGCCATTAGAAGCCCTATCGAAAGATAATTATTATGCTGATACTCGGTGCGTAAATGTTGAAGTCTTGCTCGTTAAGAAGAAACTAGGGACCGGTAAACCTTGCATAGACATAAACCCTGTAAACTGAAACGTCAATAGTGATGTAGTCAGGCAACCAAACAAGGGGTTTGAAGTTGCTAAGTAACACAGATGTTGACTTCAATGAAATATCGAATTATATATTTTACATCTCTCATATTCGATAAGTAGGTCCTTATTACCCCCAAATGGGGCTTGAAGGTGACCAAAAAGCGCTCTAGGGTAATAATGTAGCTAGAAAAGCCCTATGGTGGTAAGTAATTAAAAAAACACGTCATTCTTTCATAAACTTCGCGTACATCTAACCATCATAGGTACTGGTGATAGACATCATGCATTCAGCCCAATGACCTCTTCGCTATTCAGCTTTGTCTTCGTATGAGTATAATAGTCATCAATTTTAAAAATCGAAGGCGATGCTCAATGTCATTCTTGAATAAAAAAAATTAATCGTTCTTTACTTGATTCTTTATAGTGAAAAAAAGCGAGAATAGAAAACTTTTACTTTAAATATTGTTTGTTTTTAACGTCACGTCATGTGCTAATTAGGAAAAGACATGAGTTCTTCAAGTAATGATGATAATTATAATCTCAAACTATAATATACCCAAAAACATCTGTCCTTTAAATTTGAAAATTGTTCTCATTTCACTATAAATTTTAACTAATAAAATATTTTATTTTTGTGATGCCGGTTTTTTCTACTTACCCCACAATCGAGATATAAAGCAGAGTAGTTAGCTCGAGTGTAAGCATTAATTGTACCCTCGAGCTATAGGCGCCTTCGCAGCGCTCGTGCGCCTAAATATCTCGGGCTGCAATTGATGTGTGGCGACTGATACATAGCGACATCTAATTCATCGCAGTAATATCGCCACAACAATCGATAGCGAGAAGACTAGCATCGTCACAGCCATCGATAGCAAGACGAACTGCAATAAGTTTCAACAGCAAGTAACGAGATGGCGCTGTACCAATACAAACAGCATAAATTAATAACTACAAGACATTTAGAACAAAGAAACCTACATCACACAGAATAAGTTTAATTACCAATTAACATAAATAGAACGTCCAACCTACATCGGTTGGACCGCGGTCCCCGGGCTAACAACACTTAGCTCGGAGGGAGACAATTATCCTTTAGTCTCCCTGGTCAGTTGTCTCCATCACCACAATAGGGACCACAATTTCAACCTTACGGTTCCTAAAGTGGTACCAATTACTATTGATCTCATTCTTTGTCAATTTTATATAAGCTTTATAAGAAAAAATATTTCGGTATTAGAAGCCCTATCGAAAGATAATTGTGACTGCGATAATTGGTGCGTAAATGTTGAAGTTTTGTTTGGAATCTGGAAAAGCGTTGAAAAGTACACTACACACACAGTTTGCTAGAAAAACAGAAATAATAAAACGTTTCATTGAATTTTTAAAAATTTTCAAGTGGAAATATAATGAAGTCATATATTTTACACGACTTACATCGCTATCCGCTATTCATGCTATCCAACGGAAATCCCGTACAAAAATGTCTGCTAAATAAGTAAGTTCTAGAAGAAGAACAATTTGTTCCAGCAAACATAACGATATTTTTGGTTAGGGATATTTTCCAGTATAATGTTGTAAATGCAAAATTGATCAAACAAGCGAACAGTTTAAAAGTTTAGGGCTCAGTGATGATAAAACATTTGTTCTTTTTATAGAACATCCGGTTGTACCAACAACATTTTTTTCTGATATTAGGACTCAGGAGGATTGTAACTCGAATGCTATTAATATATAGCTAATACAGGTTGTAATAAAAAGAATATATGTTACGCTCAAAGACTGAATCCGCTTCTTGAGCGAAAAAGTAGTTCACAACGCGTTGTGGTTACAGTAAAGTAGCCACATAAAGAAATTCGTGTTATGACTATAATGGAACAGCTCGCGACGCGTTGTGGCAATCGCAGAAAAGCCACATAGCCAAATCTGTTTCGTGGCTGACTTGCTATTGGAGCTCAAGGCCTTGAGGTAAAGAAGAAAAGCCATGTCAATAGTCATTGACATCCCAACAAGAGCGCCAAAAATCCTGGCGTTTAAAGTTTTTCGAGAGGCCGGGTATTTTTTCAGTTATTAAGAACGAACGAACAAACAAACCTTTCCTCTTTATAATATTGAACACCTGATTTTTAAAGAGTTTTTAGATTTGACATTATAGATCACTTTAATAAAAAAAATAATCTGAAATGTACTTTTAACTTCACGAACAGCTAAATTTTTGTGCAAAAAGTTTTCAGTACCGTGGTCGAGTGGCTCACATTTCAATTTCGAGGTGTTGCTATCTCTGTGATGCCAGGCTCGATGACATGATCAATGTGAAAAATTAACTTTTGTGTCTTGTCTCGAGTCTGGACGTTGTAGTGTCTTCGTTTTTGTATATACATTTACACAATACAAGTGTTTTAGCTAATTAATATGAGTTGATTTGAGTTCAGAGCAATGTGTGTGATGTTGACTAATATTTCATTTTTTTATACAATAATATTGCATCTATGTAAATCAATTTCTACAGTTCTCTCAAAAAATTAAGATTTAAAGTAGAGAAATGTAACTGATTTGTATAAACTGATGTGATGTTGACTGTACAGAAGGCTAACGTCTTTTTACTGTTTATGACGACGGTAGCACTGTTTCGTCGAAAATAGAAATCTGGAAGGAGATCAAGAGTTTCTATGGTCAGTTATACTTTATCTACGCGAACATCTGTTGAAAGAAGGCTAAAAAAGATCCAGACCTAATAGCTTACCCGACACTATACCGAGAATATCTCGGACCATGTGAACTATAGGTATATCAAGGTGCTAAAGTGTGTATGCAATAATTCCACTATGTCGGTCCAATTACAGACCAGTATGTGTTGCCAGTGATGATGACTTACGGAAGCAAGACGTGGTTGTTCACTATGGGTCTCATGGAGAGAGCAATGCTTGGTGTTTCTCTGCGTGATAGTATCAGGATCGAAGAAATCCGTAGGAGAACCAATGTTGCTGATATTTCTCAGATGAAGTGGCCATGGATGATATACATAGCTAGAAGAACCGGAAAGCGGAAAGTTTCTGGAATAGTGACCGCGTACCAAACGACGCTCAATGGATAGACCTTACTATCATATAGAGATTGTGGGAAGCCGTCGTATGCGAGCAGAGCAGGACCCATCATCGTAGAGAGAGGCCTATTGTCAGCAGTGGGCTTCGTACGACTGTTGTTGATGATGAAAATTAATAAGTAATGAGACTCGTCAACGACAAGAGGCGGCTACTGGGGCTCAACCTCTACTGTGTAGCTACATTGGATTCTATATTTAATAAAATACGCTTAACGTTTAATACAGTGTTGAGCTTTAGTGCATTTTCAATAAAATTCCAATATCGACTAAATCGAAGTCAATTAGTTAATCTGCAGGATTGCTGATAACCAGTGGTCGGAATTAGGTAGAGTTATTCATGTACTTACACTGATTTCATACAGCGAAAGAATAAAGTGGATATGCCTCAAATCCCGAGATTAATTTTAAAGAGTAGAAAAAACCCCGTGATTTTTTAAATAAAAAGTTATTTACTTTTACACAATTTAAACTACTGCACGCACGACGTTGCCAAACTTACATCAATGACATCGGATGTCCAAAGTTGCAAAATACCAATACGCGCGATGTTGCGACGAAGGTCCACATTAATATCAACATTTCGATGCAAGTACATAAATAACTCTACCTAATTCCGACCTCTGCTGATAGCCATTAAAGCCAGACGAGGTAGAATGTTTGGACATTTATACACGATACGACGATTTCTTTAAAAACAGGCTGGAAGTTTAAATAAGTGTAGGAACCGGAGGAAGACGAACTTCTTGGAGTTCGTCTTTCCATCGATTGTTGTGGTGATGTTAGTGCGTTGTGTTAGATGTCGTTACGTATCATTCGCTATATAAGCAAACGACAAGTAAGTAAACGTTACGACACTACTTCAGGATGCTACCGAATAGAATGAATTTTAAAATCAGTCAATCACTATTTGTGGAGAAACAGATAAAAATACGATCTTTTTGAAGTAAGATAAAATGTGGTCGTCTTTCCTACATGTAAAATGCAGCCGATTTTTATTAACAATCAAGCAGGGGCCAAGACCACCACATGAACATATTTATGTTAACAAACTAATTAAAATGTACGTGCCTACATAAATATGTAGGCACGTAAATTTTAATTAGTTTGTTTAGGACTCGGTAGCGCGAGCGTTATATGAATTGTGCATTAAATTGCTACTTTTAGATGTTTATCAAATCATAAAAAACATTATAACATGTATTGCGGGTTCGTGCATCTATGAAGATTTTCAAACGGAATATGAATTGATTATGTTTATATATATAAAACAATAGGTGCTGAATGGGATAAAAAAATTGTTAAGAACTATAAGGTAGGTATAGGTATCTATCTAAGTTAGGTATCATTAAATAAAGTGGATATTCCATTTAACCTGAAAGGCTGTCAGAGAAGGAGCAGTTGAGATAGCCCGTCAAATTAACGTTTCAACAGCGAATTACGAGATTATAAATTTAATACTGATATATAAAAAAGTGGAAGGAATGATGTTAACACCTTTTCTAAATTTATAGAGCACACAACATTTTAAGACCCCCTTTAGTATGCGAGCAGAGGTGAATAAACTACTTCAAATACAGTTATGCTACATATTAATAAAGAAACGCGTTCTGAACTTTTTAAGAAATATTTATATCGAAATCTTATTCTTTATACTGTCTTTTTAAGAGCCACTTATAAAACTTCGCAAAATCAGTATTTGATATAAAATGAAGCGACGGATTACTTAGAAAAAATATGTAAAGGGCTTTTGGTCAGAGTCCACTAAAATATATAAAATCCCTGAAGATACAATTTCTAGGTTTGTTTTTAAGAACCTAATGCTATGTAAGGGACCCTTTTGACATATTAATAGAAAAATGTGTCAACTGCGCAGGTCCGACTGTCGTGCATGCGCAAAACGAAATATCCTTCCAGCCATCTGTCTTGTGTTTTCATTACCTTTAGTTTAATTAACAACGAAATAAACAAATATTAAAACAACATTGGTAAGTTTCTGTGATTATAAATATTTTTTGTACCCCTACGTGTAAATGTATCGTTTAGGTAAGCAATTCTTTTGCTTCAAGAACTCAATAGGCGAAAATAACCTCCGTGGGCATATTTAATTCATTTGTTTAATTATTCATCAAGTTTATAGCATATTTGTGGGTTACATTTTTATAAAATATAGCAAACATATCCATTAGCTGCAAGAATCTGACTTACAGGTATAAGTATATTATTACTAATATAACATAAAAACAAACAAATACTCAAGTCTATAAATTCGTTTAGTGGTCGATATTGTGATATAATTTTACTTTGTAACCGTATTATTATAATTAATTAGGTTTATTATCTACTAGTTTTCAGCCAGCGGTTTCGCCCGCGTGGTATACATGATGACTTTACAGTACTATTATTCCTATGTCCCGTTGAGTGGGATAAAAAGTAGCCAATATGTTATTTCAGATATATAATTATCCGAACACCAAATTTAACCAATATATCTTCAGTAGTTTTTGCGTAAAAGAGTAACAAACACATCATGATCATCCATACTCCCAAATTCTCGTATTTTTATATTAGTTGTGTTAAATATGAATAGCGAGTGGCTAGGGGTTAGAGAAAAAGCTCGGCGGCCCGCGATCATTATTGCTAAGAAACTTTCGCAAGGGTCGGTCAGGGGAAGAGTGACCAAAAATTGTTATACCGTGCTTTAAAGGCTACGTGAAGTCGTAGATCCTGGATGCATTTGCAGTTGTTAACACCTTCTAATCCGCTTTGGGACAGCGTGGAGGGTTATGGTCTAGTCTCCTTACCTGTAAGGAAGGCCTGAGCCTCTGCAGTTACGTTAAAAGGAATGATAATGGTGGTTAATAATATTTTTGCTACAAACAAATAATGTCGACGATATCTAATTAATTTTTGTATAAAAATATTATGGGAGCCATTATCGATATTTAAGGTTATTACCTACCTACGCAGGAGGCAATTACCAACTGGTATTAAATATTTTTGTTCAATATTTTGTGGTTACAGTGGCAATAGTAATAATTATAACTTACTATAAACCCCGATATCAGAAGTAACAACCATATTGGGTAATTTTGGATATAGGCACAATAATAGGCACATAATTGTACATTAGTTTAATATTGATTTCATATGTTTTCACGCGCACTATCCATACATGAAACAACTTTTAAACGGTTTCATCGCGTTTGTATTTAGTTTTATTGACGTTTCGGAACCATTACAGGTTCCGTGTTCACATATGACTAAGGTGCTGATTGTCTTTAAAAAACCGTTTAAAAGTTGTTTAATTAAAACAGTAGTTTTGTATCAATACCCTGTACTTTGTTGTAGGTTGTGCTATTTCTGTTTCAATAGTCGCTGAAAGTCTAACCATGAATCAGAAGCTCAGATGATAGACGTTTCGAACGACGTTTACAACACTAAGCCGACCGATGGCGAAAATCCGTAAAGACAAAATTGTAAGTACCAACATCATTGCCTTATTAACGTAATTCATAATACGATATGGTTTTAATTTAATATTTTGTATGCAGTGGCGTTGGCGATGCCAATGGAGTATAGTGACGATCGCAGCCATAGCTCTGATCATCTACAATGCCGCTGCAAATGTATGGTTGTTACGTCCTCCATCGTGCCCCGTACACACCACACCATCGCCCACGGAACCATCGACGTGCGAGCCCTGCATCGACACTGCACCTAACACAGCGCTCGATGATGACCCAGTAGGCCGCATAGACCTTCGCCTCGGACGCTGGGATGGTAGCCGCTCATATAAAATGTTCGACTACGCCGCCGTAGGAGATATGTACGCCGAGTTGTCATCTAACCGTCATGTCACTTTAGCTACACAAAGCTCAATAGAGAGACTACACGAACTTCTACGAATAGCCGCTCACTGGTCGGGACCTATATCTGTAGCAGTATTCGTTGCGGGTGATGAATTGAGGCTATTGAGAGCATTTGCCACTTGGTTGTTTAGATGTCAGCCAGAGGTGTATTCCAGGCTAGCAATACATGTCGCAATGCCGGCTGAAAGACCAGGCGTCTACGGATTCGTTCCATCATGGAACAAAGATTGCAGTTCCAGGCCGTTGCCTGGGGAAAGACGAGCGGATACAGTCGCTTGGAGGGCGAGACATCCGTACCCTCAGAATCACTTGCGGAATCTCGCCAGAAGGAACTGTCACACTCCGTATGTTTTCTTAGTGGACGTCGACATCGTACCCTCTAAAGGCATGTCCGAAGCGTTGGACAATTTTTTAGCGACAGTACCCCGGTGCTCCCTGTGTGCTTATGTGGTGCCGACATATGAGCTAGACAAGAGGGTCGCAAATTTCCCGGCAAATAAATCTGAATTACTCAGGCTGTCAAAGAATAAACTAGCAATACCTTTTCATAGAAAAGTATTTATTTACAACCAGTACGCGTCCAATTTCTCCAGGTTAGTCGAGTTATTATTTCGAAATTGAATTAATTGAACAAAAAATGAGTAATTATGAGTTAGAGTCTGTTGTTGTATTAAAAAATTGATGTAATTACTTTGACCTAGGTGGGAAGCGAGCGGCGGCAACGAGAGCACGGAGACTCATATCAGCCACAACGTGACTAATTTCGAGCTTCTATACGAACCTTTCTATGTGGCACCAGACACCGTGCCGCCACACGACGAACGATTCCTGGGCTACGGATTCACTAGGAATACTCAGGTAACATCACTATTATTGTGGGACAAATGTAAAAAAAAGAAGAAAATTTTAGTAATGAATAATGTTTGTGAGTTCACAAACATTATTAATAAAAAACACACACAAAAACTTAATAAAAAACACATTTTTACTCTTCACATTACGAATGTGCTTGAAAACAAAAAATGTGAGGAGATGAAAAAAATAGAAATATGTGTTTTTCTTTAATTAATACATTGAAATGTAGAAAATTATTTATTTTCAATTCTCGGGTTAGAAATTATAATAAATTGCATCTAGAATTTTAGGCCCAATTTCTAAAGTAAAAAACTAAACTTAAAAACATATTGAAAATCAACAAATTTTAAAGGGAAAAAACACATTTAGATACAACAGTTTACTCTTATCTCTTATACATATAAAATAGCGAGTATTCTAAACTAGTCGAAAAAAGATTTTAAGGAAGCTCGGTAGCAGGTGTCCGGTATCTGTGTTGACATTGACGAATCGTTGGCTGACTGGTGGTTGGTTATGTTCCGTCGGCGGACGGCCGACTCAGCATTCTACCAAGATGGATGCGTATCACCCGCTGACTAAAACCGACTTAAACATTTACACCCTCACACCAGTGTTTCTAGTGGAATGGACTATTTATTACATTTTGTCCGAGAAAGTGTGTTTTATTAATTTACAGATGACAAGGGTAATACTAATAAAGCAAACGAAAAATTAATTCTACTTAAAGTTAAGAATCGATAGTGTTTAAAAAATACCGGTTGATTTTATTTATAAAATTTATGATTTAACCTTTTCACTTATGAAACAATATTTTTTGGTTGTTTACGTTTTTGATTAAACGTGCGGTTTCGTTAAATTAGGACGCAATTATAAAATTACGGTATATAATTAGGTAGCAATGCTTTAATTACTGTGCGTTAATAAAAATCCAATTTAATATGTTTTCTGTTCTTTCATTTTATTTTTAGTGTATGTATAAAATATAATGTTAACGTTACAAGTAATTTAATGTCAAATTACCTATATATACCATAAGAGATCAGAATACTTATCATTAAATCAGTGAATAGTAATATCTAAAAAATATTAATGCCTATCCGCTGTCCACAGATCTTCTTCCTTTTCTAATATTAGTATAGATACGATGCATTTAAGTACAAATTCTTGTTTCGAATATTTCATTTGCTTTTGTTTTGGTGCCAAAGACGTTTTGTTAGTGTAAATCATCTGTAATTTGAAACCATGAATAACTGGTAGCCAAGGTTACCCATAGCTCTGTTCTTGAAACGCCGGATCAGGCGCAGCTAAAATTATCTCAGCACAGTTGTTACTGGCGGCTCGTAAGTTTTGTAAACATTGGCTCTTTATAGGTTAAAAGTTATATGCGTAATTTATAGTAAATATTTTTTTACACTGAGTTCATTTTACATTTACACGCTTCTATGGGTTTTCTCTAAAACAGTTTTCAACACAGTAAAAAGTTAATTATTACAAGTGATCGTTCATTGTCGAAGTTCGACTAATCGCTGAGTGATGTCAGAGACTATAAAAGTTGGCGAGCGTTTGTAAAGAGGATGGGAAAGTTGAGGAAGCAAAGGTGTGTGTGTGCGAAGAGGGCAGTGCCTCGAACCTTTCCTGCAAAGAATGAACTTTTTCCTTTTCAATTAGAATATAAAGTATGTCATACTTATTATTGTTATTATGGGAGAGCCACGCTTCGGCATGAATGGGCCGGCTCGACCGGAGTGATACCACGGCCTCACAGAAAACCGACGTGAAGCAACGCTTGCGTTGTGTTTCGTCGTGTGAGTGAGGGTACCGGAGGCCCAACCCCTCCCTATTCCCTTCCCTCTACCCCTCAACCCTTCCCTCCCTATGATCATATTCATCCCTCAAAGGCCGGCAGCGTGCCTGTAGCCCCTCTGGTGTTGCAGGTGTCCATGGGCGACGGTAATCACTTACCATCAGGTGATCCGTCTGCTCGTCTGCCCCCTAACTCATAAAAAAAAAAATTGCACTGACAATTCTATTTTTCTGTTTAGTCAAAAAACACTTGAAAAAAATAACCTGAGATTGTTTTATTTTCAAGTATTTTTAAGATATAGAAATCAGACTTCTTTCAAAGAGTTGATGAAAGAGCTGCGGAAAATATTCATTTAAATATTATGTTGAGAATTCCTACTAATTATAACTCACGGAAATGTCTCAAAACTAATAAATTATTGACACGAACAGTAATTTTTAATTCTAAATAATAACTCGTCGCTGCAGAATATTCGACATATTTTTTTTTACGGTACCTAGTTTTATATAGGACATGAAATTCTTGGCACATCACATTTATGTTTTACATAAAATTCGAATTGATTCCAACAAGGACGTATTAATTAACAATGCTCAATGCTAAATTATTTATATCTAGAAGCTCTATTAAACAGGAACGATGTATATAACTAAATTTTATTACTTTGTTAATATTAAAATATGATACCATACTAAATCATTGTAGCCTGGTGCAGTGGCATAACGATACCGTTTGAGGCCCGTGGCAAATTCATCGGATATTCATTTTTTTTGCTAATTGCGTAATAATAAATGTCAGGAGTGAGGAGTCTCCTCTGATCGGGGGCCTCTTCCAGCTATTAAGCCAAGTGTTACCTACGTCGGCCTCTTTGAGTTCTATACAAATATTAAACTTATAAAATCGTAGGTAGTAAAAATCAAATCTCTTTATTTGTTCGAAAAATTTGAAATTAACTGGTGTCGGAGATAAAGTGGAAATTGTCGTTTTATTTTCTTAAATAATTTGAAAATTAGTAATCAATATATTATATGAGATATTGCAATATCAATATATTAGAAATACATATATATTTGAGATGCTTCCAATAAATCCTTTCGCTTATATGTAATACAAAATAGTTTATATTTTTATTGAAGCATTCATATGTCGTACTAGTAGCATTCATATGTTAATTACAAATGAAAGACGGCGTGATCATAAAAGGCCTTCAAAATAATAGAACTTGGGGGTTAAGAATCAAACAAAAAATATCATCTCCCCACAGCTCTATCTATACACGTCATTGCATAAAAAATTAATATTAGTTTAGGTGCGGAACATCGAACACATGTTCTGTGGTGCAGAAGGACGTTTACCGTAATACGTAACGTTGTATGATTGAGGTATTGTGTCGTTCTCACCAGTGACGTCAACTTGGCGTCATAATGCAGTAACAGTTTAAGTACGCATACGAGGGTCAAACTGAAAGTTCTTAGAAAATCAAAAACTGATTACATTAGCCAGTTATTAGTTTTATTATATCTTTTCAAAATATTGTCCATTCACGTCAATACACCGCTGCATGCGATGGAACCACTGGGAAAAGCACTTTGCCCACTCGTCCTTAGGGGTCTCTTCAATGGCATCGCGATACGCAGCCACCGCTTCTTCAGCATTCATAAACCGCTTTCCTTCAAGTTTTTCTTTAATTTTTGGAAATAAATAAAAATCACAAGGCGCGAGGTCGGGGCTATACGGCGGGTGACCCAGTAATTCAACGTTTGATGTCGCCAAATAGTCGATCGTTCGCTTGGCGGTGTGCGACGAGGCGTTGTCGTGGTGAAGGAGGATCCTACTGCGAGGTCGTTTCTCTCGAACTTTTTCCAAGACAAGTGGCAAACAATTGGTAGTGTACCATTCTGCAGAAACTGTTTTTTGATCCTCTAACACAATTGTTGCAAAATGACCTATCCTTCCAAAGAACGAGGCCACCATTTTTTTTCCCGCACTTCGATCTCTCTTCACTTTAGTTGGCAACTCCTCGAAAGGAAACACCCACTGAGCAGATTGTCTTTTGGTTTTAGGATCATAACAGTAAATCCAGCTTTCGTCACCTGTTAGTATGTCGAACACAGCATTTGAGTCACCTCCGTTAAATCTTTCAATCATTTTACGACACCAATCCACACGATGGAGTTTTTGAGCCTCAGTCATATTATGAGGTATCCACCGGGCGCAAAGCTTCCTGACCGCTAAATGTTCGTGGAGGATTTTGTGCACTTGACTCATACCGATGCCTAAGCTTGTCCGAATCTGTTGATAGGTCACTCTTTTGTCAGTCTCTATCATACGCCGCACAACACAGATGTTATCTTCAGTCGTCGCCGTAGAAGGCCGTCCCTCACGTAAATCATCAGTGAGATTAGTGCGACCACGTTTAAACTCATTAAACCAGTTGTAAACAGTCGCACGAGATGGGGCTTCATCGTGAAAGGCCAATCGTAGTCTATCATAACTTTCTTGTTGACTTAAATGACATCGAAAGTCATAAAAAATCATTGCACGAAAATTTTCTCGTGTTAAATTCATGATGACGTGACACAGACAATTTTCAATTTGCCGCCAAATCGTAAAACAAATGACAAATGAATGAAATATATACTCAGTAATATTGGCAAAGAGTTATATTTTCAAATTTTAGAATTATTTTTTTATTATATTGTTTATAAGTAGCCAGTTCTAAGAACTTTCAGTTTGACCCTCGTACATAATGTAGTCTACTTCTATATTATTATTTGTCATAGTTTTGTTGATACTACATAGTTATAAAAAATGAGATTTTATTTGTTGACGCTACAATTGGCATGCGCTGATTGGCCACGGGATGGTCACGAATGTATAAAAATTTTAAACTATGTAAACACAAATAAATAGAAAAGTTTTAAAAATTTTCCCGAATAACATGGCCATTAACTCATACAAGATGTTCAGGTGCCCATTTCGCTTACTTTATGGGTATATCTGTCATTGCACCTACTCTTCTGGCAACAAGACAAGAATTTTAGTATTTTCAACATCGTATAGGTATCAAACATTGTTTAATAATTCCGGTTATTACCTACATGTGGCCAAAACAATTGCTTCGCTACGGCCGGCTCATGTTCCTTGACCTTTCATCACAATTTGGTGTGTTATAAACTAAATCAATAGGTAACAGGGAACCGACCTTCGTCACAGGACTTGCTCGCCAGTTTCGAGTTGCTCGCCAGTCTAAAGTCTCGATCGAATTCCGAGTGAGTCAATATAGAAAATTATGTCTGATCTGATCTGAACTAAATTTCAGAATCGTACCTCTGTCGCATTGTGAGTGCGATTCTTTGGAGACGTATTAGCGTTTCGAAAATATTATTCTATTCGTTGTGTGGATGTTGTCTTATATTTATTTTGTATGCCAAATGATTATATATTTTTTATATATCAAATATTTGAAGTTTTATTAATGTCAGTAAAATCTACTTTTACAAATCTCTAAAGCTTAGACAACAATGTTAATTGCTAAAAACAAAGACCCTTGTTTTGTACAAAAACGAAAACTTTAATCCTGATTTATAGCAAAAAAAAAAAAAAAACAGCAATGCCAGCAGAGGCAATCGGCGATGAGCTTTGTCCCCTCTAAAGCG